TGTGTTGAGGAGTTTATGAAGATATGAATTGGTGTGCATGGGAAGAGTGGTTTATATAGATGGGTCATGTAATTGCATCGTCACAGATATTTTTTTCAACTAATTAATACTAACGTATTGTAAATATAATTTAGGTACGTTAAATTTGGATTTGCATTGATTATTATGCTGTTAGTTAGGTCAAAGGCAAGTCAATAGCTTTAACTGATGACACCACGGATTGGTGGAGGAATTTTTTGTTTTGCTTTTTTGTTATTTACGAAATTCTTTTGGAAAATCACCATTTTTTCTCCAACAAACAACATGCAATATACAAATTTAAATTTGGGCGATGACACGATAACAATATTTTCACAAATCACTTAGTTGTCTTATTTATATTCAGTTGTTATTACATAAGAAATTGGCATCCCGCTAACTTTGTAAAAACTAAATTTTATTAGTTTGGTAATATTGTTAATTATTCAACTATGTTTTTTTCTAAGTTTTTTGCATAGTTTTTTTGTTTGTTTGTTTGAAACTTAGTTTTTTGCATAGTTTCTAACTGGAATCAATAATTCTTCATAAATAATCAGAAGGCAAACAATGTGATTCATATGGTTTGTGTGGAGATTTAAAAGCTAAAAATTTGGTACGTTTTTTTCCAATAATTTGCAAAATGTAGTTGTCTCATGTTTTGACCAAAAAAAAAAAAGTAGTTGTCTCATGCACATAATATTGTAACAAAGTCAAGTATAAAAACTGTTTTTTTTTTAATTATTTCACCAAAATAAACTTCTACACCATTCAAACATCAAGGAACAATTCACTCGCTCTGCTAATAAAATTTAAAATAAATGGGTGGAGTTAATTAACTAAAAATAAATAGTACTTTTATTGTTATTATGCTAAAGAGGAGAATCGAAATGGAATCGCAGCCGTCCTTCCCACTCTTACTAAAGCTCTTTTAATGGTACGGATTTATTAATACTTTTTAGTATGGCTTTACAATTTTGTTTATAAATCTTTATATAATTAAACTTCGATCGTTTTACGGTGGAATAAAAGATTTTGTTATTACAAGTCGTATATAAAGTCGTGATTTACTCTGTAACTCCTTAGTTCCCCAAGATTAACGACTAGAATTTTTTTGAAAAATTCAAAATTATGAGCTTTTAATTAAATCAAATTTTCCGGTTTTTATAAAATTATCTATTTTTACCGTTTTCATCCAAAATTTTTACAAAGAAATACAGAGAAAAAAAGTTAAATCAAATTTTTTTGTAGTTACTAATTTACTATTTTACTTTTACAATTCTATCTGGATCTTTATCCGCATATTGTAAACAAGAATTCTTAACACCTATTTAAAAATGTAAAATCGTTAAGAAGGATAAATAAATCCGAAAAATGAATCATAATATTGTTAAAAAAAATTGTTATTTAATTTTTAAATTTACGGGATGATAAAATTAATAAATGGAAAACTAAGATATAATTTAATAAAAACCTACTGAATTACTCTATTTTCAGCAAAAATACTAATAAAAATTTTAAAAGTAAATTAAATTGAAATGATGCTTTTGCTTTTCACTGATAAATATGAATAAATATAGTTAAAGTTTACATCAAATGCAGTTAATACATCTGGGCATTTAATTCTCAGCGTGCTCACATGACGAACAGGACTAATATTTTTATAGGTAATGTTCGAGGCTTTTATTTTCGAAAATTTTTAAAACATACTATTTTTTATGTGTTAGTTTATAAAAATGCCACATTTTTGAAATTTTTATAAAAATACTCTTTTTTCAAA